TTATAGTTTATTTCAAAAAATGAGAAAGCATGAGAAACGAGCAAATATAATTAGATCTAGATTTAAGTAACTTATAAGCTAGAAATTTGTATTTAATTGTGTGCTTGTCCAAAAATCGTATCCAACTCCATAGATCTTTTAAAATTATTTTGAAGCTTATGTTGAAATTTGATAAATTTTGGGGTTCGTTTGTTATGCGAACCAATTTTGTGGTTCTAGACCCGTTATGCCCAAATTTAGTTGATTGAGTTAGAGACCTTATCTTGTTGTGATATTTTAATAAAAAATCATATATATGTTGAATTTGTTGTGGTTAAAATTTTGTGATTTTTTTAGATCGTTTGATATGTTTTAAAAATTGAGACTTTAGCCTTGATTATTGGTATTTTTAGAAATTGTTTCGGTTGGGATTTAGCTGAAGTTGTTGGATGTAAATTCCTTACAAATCATGTTGAACTTAGGGTTAAAGTTTTGGCTCAAAATGAGTAAGGTTACTTAGATAACTGAAACCCTAGTTTCGCCCGTTTCTAAACACCGAGTAATATTTAGATCCGAGCACTATCGCCCGAACCCTAGTAGCTCAATAATGAATTTAGACAGTTATTAATGAATCCTTGGGTTGTCGGGATGTGGTTGGTCGGTTGGTGAGTTGCTGGCGAGACCATAACCGAGCCTTAGAAGACTGCTGAGGTCGTGTGCCTCGTAGTGAGCATAACCAGACCAACTCGCGTGCATTAGCACTTGTCTTCAACGCGTACCGATGTCCTACACATGTCCCACTCTCATCCAGTCGTTGCAGCCGAGCCACCAAGTGCGTCTCTGTGCACCAATTCCGATCGAGCCACGCCCCTTTGCTCTGCCCAACGCCCATGCGTTCATCCAACCTACCATCAACGTGCCATTTCTGTTAGCCGTGTCCCAAGCATGCCACTGAGTCAATGTCCGTGGCACTGTGTAAAGCTCATGCGTCGACGAAGCCGTATAAGTCGTGTTCGTGCGTGCCCGTGAGTTTTTACGCCGAACCCGAAGACAGTTGAGTCAAACTGCACATAGTCGACGAGCGACCACTTGGTTCTGAGCGAGCCGCCGGTCCCGTCTAGTCAAACCGGTCTGGTCAATCTGGACGGTTCGAGAAATTCCCAGTTCAACCGAAACAGTTTGGGCAATCCGGACAATTCGGGTGTTTTCAATTCGAAACATTGGTTTTAGCGTGAATCAAGAATTTAGTATTTTTTTTCGAAACAAGTCAGATATTAGCACCAGACTTATAAATATTTCAGAGAACTCTAGAAAGTCTCAAGACAGTAATTTTTCAAATTAGATCGTAATTTTCTAAAACGAGTATTAAATGATTTTTAAAACTGAGCGAGCAAACCTAGAAAGATCAGAGATTTTTTTCCAACAATATATTGCACATAAAATAAAAGAGTTCAATATTTACATGTGGGTAACCCCGAGACCACCGAGATGAAACTGAGAGCAACATTGCAAAGTGTGCTAAATCAACCGACCACCAAAAAGAGCTAGAATCTAGCCTAAAACTAAAACCATCTAGCTCTAAATCCACCACACTAACGAAAATGACAAACACAGTAGAGAAAACAACCTAACTAACAAGGAAGAAAAGGACTAACACAACACCAGAACTAAGAGAAAACACAACAGAGCAAAATCCAGACTATAATTACATAAAACAAACCAAATAGATTAAAGCACATTACAGAATTCTTGCCACTCAAGGAGGGCTCGAATGGCAATAACTCTTTCTGGCACAAGCTCTTGACTGAATATCCACAGGTTCCTCGATCTCCACAACCATCAAATGATATAAGTTGAGAGTTGTATTCTTGACTCTGAGTTTTCTGTTTTCTTGGTTGAGCACACTTAGCCACCACCAACTCTTGAAGTTTTAATTTTCAATTCTGATTCCATCCCATTGCAAAGGTGAAAACTTCCAAACTTGTTGTGCTCTGGTGCAACTAAGTAGAATATGGTCTCTTCAGTCTCACCACAGTTCCTAAGATTCACACTCACTGGTATGGTACTTGTGAAGCATTTCTAGATAAAATGCTTAAGTGTGCCCTTGACATTGAGTTTCCAGCTCCATTGTCTCACAGAAATATCAAGTTTTCCAGTGCTACTTCCATCTTCCAAGTCCAGGGTTCTCAGTTTCCTATCCATCAAGTGAGAGTAGGAAGCAGCTACTGAGAAGACTCCTTTAGAATCAAACTTGTGGTGCTCTTGAGTAGGAAAGATCAGCGATTAAGATTTGAGTTTTCAGTTTGAGCTAAGTACTTAGAACTTATATTGTGCTTAAATATTTTGTAGCTTGCGGGGAGTCGAGCCTCCGACAGTTTCCATCCATTCAGCACTTGCATTTCAACATATCAGGTAGGACCTTGTAATGGATGCTACATTTTCTATAGTCGTATTATCCTGACTGAGGATGTATGTAAGAGTTAGTTTGCCTAAAAAAAATGCAATAACCTAGTGGATAGGTCCTCTTAGCTAAGTGATCCAAATGCTAGTTAAGTTGAGATAAGAACTTTAGTAGAACTTTGAGTTAAGTGAATTAGAACTTTAGTACAACTTCACGTTAAGTTGTAATTTTAGATGTTCTTAGAATATTTCTTCCCCAATGGGCATTGACCTAGAGACAGATTTCCTGATAGCCAAGTGTTTCGAACTCTAGACAGAATCAAGGACTCTAGTACAACTCTGGGTTAAGTTCCAACATAGAAGTGCATAAGAGTTAGTTTTGCCTAAACGTAAGTAATGCCTTACAAATTATGTCCTATAGTTGGATCTTGCAAACGTGAAGGCAAAGTGTCATTCTCGTCAGTTAAGCAGCAGTTATAGACAGTCATTTGAGCAGCAATTATAGACAGTCAGTTGAACAACAGTTATAGACATTCAGTTAAGCAACAATTATAGACAGTCAGTTGAATAGCAGTTATAGACTATCAGTTTAGCAACAGTTATAGACATATGTCGTAATAGCCCGAGAGTTCCAAGTCGAGACATATATCGTACCTGTCGAGCTCTTCCGAATGCAGTAGCATATTTGTTTCCCAGTAGTTTTTGTATTCATCGTCTAAATTGTCCATCTTGCAGTGTGTGTGACTTGTGGAGAGAGAGAGAGAGAGAGAGAGAGAGACTATTAGTTAATTTCCCACTTAGGCAAGCATCAAAGATAGTATGGGGTTGGTTTTTATAGGTGATATGTACTAATATTGTGGTTATTTGTGGTCTATGAAACAATGAAACTATGTGATGTCAGTGAAAACATGTATCCCATAATTTTAATTATGGCTCTCTGTTTGGTCGTTTGATCATTGGGACATGATTATGTTGAGGCTTACTTTTGTTTAATGTTTTCACATGTTGAATGTGTTATATATACTCTTATGTACTACAACTGTACTAGTTAGACCTAAAACTTTTCAAGACGAATATTTTAGATTAGTTTTTGGGAGAGGAAAATTTGGGAGGGGGATATCATCAAATCAATGATTCTTAGTACGGGAATATCATCGATCTCCTGCGCGGGCATAAAAAACTAAAAGGAAAAAAGGGGTATGGCTATATACAACATATAAGATACATTTATGTTCTAGAGGAAATTACATCGTGCACCATAAATATAATTTTTTATTACATAAATAATGTCCCTTTATAAACATTAGCATATTGACTAAATCTATAGATTTATTTGTAAAAATACCTAAATCAAAATTCTGCGTGATTAATGGTGAGATCTTATCACCTTCCAAATAATTCTCCCTCATTCTCTTCCACCATGAAATCGGTCTCGTCTCTCTCAAGCAGCAACCCTATTTATTTTTTCATATTTAAACCAACTGCTACCCTCGATTGGGGAATTTTCGAAACTCTGCAAATCAGCCCCGAGCATCCGGCGGCTAGTCAACGACCGAAGCTCCAATCTCATGGCAACCACGTCGTCCGACCACGGGCAGCGAGCCGTGACCTTGAGCCACCAGATTTCTGACGAGCGCCGCGACTGGAGAACCACTATTTGTCGGTTGAAGAGGTGTTTGTGTAGGGTGGTGGTGGCGGGTGGCGGCTGAGAAGTTCATGACCGGGTAAGAGCCGGATCGAAGATCAACTGGCCGAAGCTCCAGTTTTTTTAGAATATTTTTCGTTCATTTTGTTGTGTTGTGGATATGTTGTGTATATATACAATATATTTTTCAGTATGTTCTCGTAACCACAATCGACAATCTAATGTGTATTCTGTATATATTATGTATATAATGACAAAATTGATTTATCTTTTGTATATCTGTTGTGTATGTCGTGTATATGTGTATATCTTCTGTATATAAGTCTGATCGTGTATTTTAAGTAATGTCTTTCGAACAACTCAAAATAGGTAGTATATAACATGATTATGTTATGTATATATGCATGAATGATATACTTAGAGTATACCAGGCTACAACTCTATAGGTGTTTCAAAATTGTATATGTGATGTATATATATTGTATATATTCTTATAGAACACTACTAACTTTTTAAATATCAACAAAATAAAACATATACGTTTAATATACGGTATCAAAACAATGCATTATAAAAAAATAAACAAAATAAATGTCAACAAGTAAAAAAGTACGTGTTTTTCTAGTTTTAGTACCAGAAATGCCAAAAAAAAAAAAGAAAAAAAAACTCACTGGAGTTCTACAAGTACAGCGTTCCAGATAAAATCCGAACAAAAAAACGACAGGTTGATCGAGATCATAAATCAAAATTTTATTTCCTTTTTTATGTGTTTCTCCTAATGTTACACGAACTGATACACGAACGCAGCCCACGGGCCTGCATCTAAGGCCCTACAAAACTTTACAAAAAAAAATAATGCATATTCCACCCAATAAAATATAGCCCTGTTAATTTCCTCTAGAAAAAGGCATCAACTGAGGAAAAAGTGACTTGTGTTGTGTATGTGGTATTAATGTCGTCTGCAAATCATCAAAAATTATGTCGCCTGCCGAAGCATCTTCTGGAGTTGGATCAATTGCTGCTGCTGATCCGGCGGCAGGGAACTAAGCTGCTGTGGCGTTAGGCTCAGAACTTGCTCAAGCAAGGCTGGGTCAACATCGGCCGGGAGTTGTAACTGTAAAGACGATGAAGAAAATTATTCGTAACTTAGTAATAAAAGGGAATCCAAAAGTTTTTAAGAGGTGGGCTTATCTCAAAACTAAACGTACCCCCAAATAGTTGACTTTACCAAAAAATATCACAAAAATCATTGTCCTTTCCAGTATTGCGGTTTTGCTTCATACCACATATGCAGAAGTTATATTCTACAAAGTTTTTCTTTTTCATTATTGTGATCCATTCCAACATCAGTATTCAATTACTTGAATAATTTGCACTATGTGGACCAAGTTCCCAAGAAGTGACTTAGAAACATATTCTTATGTGGAAACCAATTACCTGTGTGGCTTGCTTCTCAGAGTTTGGAGTCTCTTCTGCTCTCGGGACTTGTCTTCTGGGTACACTGGAAGAAGGGAATGGTGTGATTATGTTTACAGAATGTGAAGAAGGGACGGCTTGTCCACCATTCAATTTGACCAACTTTGATGCACTATCAACTTGGTCTATGGTGTCACCAACTCGTGAAGGTCCAATGACATTCGAAGCACGTCGTTTCAGATCCATATTTTCATGCATGGTGAACGGCATTGAGGGGCTAGGTTGCTATCAGGGCAAAAAAGAAATGACAATATGAAGGGGGAAAAAAAATACAATTCGTGTACAGATTGAGCAAGAGTCCCTAATTAACTACCCTAATCTACCTTAATCAACTACGCCGAACAAAATCAAACACAATTTTGATTCATCTATCATCTCCAAAACACTAATTAATGGATGCTATGAGTCATCAAAACACTAATTAATGGATGCTATGAGTCATCATGCAGCCCCCATGGAGCCATAATTGCTTTGGATTTGAAGAAAAGGTTCAGCAAGAAGCAGAAATAAAGATAAGTGAACATAAGTTGTCATAATTGCTATCGTGAAAGAGATCATTATTGTCATTTTTTTTTCTATTGTTTAATGTTTTAACGTGAAAATAAATTTTGGCACCTGAAAGCCTGCAGCCTGCAACTGTGGACTTGCAAGCAGAGAAGGATGTGGGGCTGCATTCTGAGGCAGTAACACTTGGTTCTGGACCAATGGTGGACGTAGAATTTGAGGTTGTGTTGGAAACTGCTGAATTGAAGTATACAGGTTTGGTACACCAGTCAAAACTCGATTTTCCTGGGTGTAAGGCAGCAAAACCGACTGAATTTTGTTCTGGGGAAGTGGAGGAAGTCCAGGAAGAGTTTGTCCACTTTGCACGAGAGGCTGAAGTGGTTGTGTAGAGGATTGCCGGATATTGGGCATCTGCAACTGCATAGCAGTAGATGGATGAGCTTTATTACGAAAATTATTTCCATGAAAGGTGGGAAATCTCTGAATAAACATGACAAACCATTTGAGGGGACACCATCCCAAGCATAATCTGGGCCTGCATTTAAAGTTTGATTAAAGTGACGTCAATCCAGCCATAATGCAGTCAAAATGAGGAATAAACGAAGAAAAGTAATGAAACCTATCAGGAATGGATATTGTAAACAAATATGCAGAATATATTATTTAGGAGTATTGATTTTAGTTTTTATAACTCATAACCAAAGACAATGGCAGTTAGAAGCCAATATTAACCTGGAAAAGAGCTTTAGGCAAATTTGGGATGGCAAGTAAGAGCTGCCGTGCCTGTTCCTTATTTTGTGTAGCCATTACCTGTCAACGTCATATATACAACAAAGAGCGATAAGACACCAAACACGTTCATTTGTCACACGTAATAGCACTTACGTCATATTTGTTGGAGCCATTTATATATTTCTCATCGACTTTAATTGTATATCTATAGGGTTACAGTGTTGGGTTCAACTAACCTTCATTGCAGACATAACCTCTATCAGCTGACTCCTTGACAATTTGGCCAAATGACGAGTCAAAGGATCAGCTCCCAACATGGGCTGACTTTGAAGTCCAATCTGATTTTGTCCAGATCCAAGAGCTCCTGCCATAACCGTTGCAGCAGCAACAGCAACTGAGTCCCCCATTGGCTGGTGAAGACTTGATTGTCCAGCTGGACCCCCCAACTGTTTTAAAGCATCTGCAGCATAGTCTTTGTTAAATGCCCAACACTTCAAATCCCAATCAGAACATGAGTAACTTGGGAAATTTTTCATCTTCATTCAGAAAAGATGCGACACAAAAGGATTTCAATGATTTCACTTACCAACATTTGAGGGAGCACCAGGACCACCACGGCCCTGCAAGAAAAAGAACTACCATCAAATGCTTTGTCTATATGAGACACTACCGGCACTCAGTACATTTGTATTAGTATTCGACATTACTACTAAGAATATATATAACATGGCTACGTTGATAAAACTCGCATAATGACATGGATTAGTAAGTGATTTTACCTGTTCACGATTCCGTTCAGCATTCTTGTCATTCTCAGCAAAGTCAACTCTTAGCTGTCGACCATTTATCTCATAACCCTGAAGATTACGACGAGCACTTAGAGCAGTCTCTTCATCCTTGTACTCACAAAACCCATAACCTTTTGGTTTTCCAGTATCTCTATCAATAACTAATCTGAGATGGCCAACAACGATAATTTGAACCAGAAGATTTTACACTCAAGGAAAGATCTCAACAACTATTTATTGCCAAAAATGGTTTACTGAAAATGTTTTACAGTCAAGTTGCTGTCACTGAACCCTTCTTCCTATAGAAATTTGCACAAAGCTCTCACAGACTAGTGAACAAAGCTTAGAGTGTGTTCGGTAAGAACCATAAGCTAGCTTATTTGATTAGCTTATTCAAATAAGTTTGGTTTGGTAGAACGAGTTTTTCTAAAAAAACTCGAGCTTATCTCATAAGCTTATTTGGGTAGTCTTTCAAATAAGCCCGTTGAAGCTGGTTTGAGCTATTATAACCACAACTTTAGTACTTCTACCATATCAGCTAGCTTTTCATCCATCAGCCCCAATCTATCAGCTATAAGCTCGAAAATTCACTTATAAGCTATAGCTAGTTTTACCAAACATAGCCTTAGAAGAGTAACAAAAAAAATGCAAATATGTTCCTATCATGCATAATGTAAATGTATGAATCTAGTTACACTAGAAAATTGCTACACAAACAGGTTCCATTCACCCAAATTAAACAATTTATACATCTGCAAAGCACTGACAAATTACATCAGCGTCCGTCCAACAACCTGATTCTTCTCACTTTCCTACATTGCCTTACAGGACATTATTACTTAATTCCCTACATGAACTTTTCAGATATCCTTATTTCAATCTAACAACATAAATTCCGATGATCACATCTAGAAAATGAATAGATTCTTACAGGCTTGCAGACACAAGATGACTTAGTGAAGACTTAATTCAAACAATATCTTAAGAACGACATCAAATAGCCAAAACCACGCCATATGGCACCAAATTACTACTTTGTTACTTTCTGTACACAAGAAAGCCAGTTAAAAAAATGTAATGTAAATGGTAGTAGTCCATTGAACATTAAGTGAGCACACTATCTATACTTTTACAGGATGGAATATCAGATGCATTTGCCTACAGAGAGAATTCACACATCCAATCAGCTCTATGGTTTAGTACTACTACAGTTCCTCTGAACTCTGATAGAGGAAGAAAAACATAAGGAATAAGAACTTACCTAAAGGAAACAACCGGCCCAACCTCCTCGCATATTTGAACAAGTTGTTCTTCAGTAGCATCATAGGGTATATTACCAACTGTTAGACAGATACCGCCTTTTAGTAATTAAAATCACAACTTTTAAACCCTACCTCAATAACAACAGTCAACAACATAAGTATAGCCTGATTTCACAAGATATTGGGATTTTGAATCTTAAAAACCAAATCTAAGGCACTAATCCAAGCTTAGATTAGTTAAAAAACAAATCTAGGTACAGCGTCATGGGGGTATATTCCCAACTAATACACATACACCAACATAGATTAGTTAAAATCATAACTTTTAACCAATAGCTCAATAACAACGGCATAATTAAAGCCTGATTTCACATGAAAATGGATTTTTGAGTCTTAAAAACTAAATCTAAGGTACTACTTATTCACCATTAGTTATAAAATAATACAGTTCGAGAGCAAAGACAATCACATACCAAAAACACAACGATGCTGGGACTGAGGATTGCCCGCCATCAAAGGACTTGATTTCTAATAAAATCAACAAAAAACTAAACGTGAAACCATCATTGTGATTCAATGTCGTGCTCTTCTATTTCTTCACAAAAATCCTTCCAACAACTTCGCCGTGCCAGCGATGACTCGAACTAGCTTATGACCTCTCTTTATACCATCTCAGCTATTCATAAAGTAACAAATCACGCAAAACATACAAGCACGCAAAATTAATAACAAAATTGAAAGGTGGCCTTATGATCAAGACCTACTGATAGCCAGTTTAACATAATCTGAACCTTTCTCATTACAGAATCAAGATTTTTAATGAAATTGGGCACTTAATTTAACAGACATAAAAACCCTAATCCTTCAAATTATAAAATTTCGGCACCCACCTGAACATGACTAGGCCAAGCGGACTAACTAATACTCGACGTTTGGATTCTTGTAGCACAGTCGTGACTCAAGGTGTCCTCCCTTTCAGACGGCGGCGGGCGGCGATGCTAGACAAGTAAAAGCCGATCCCGAACAAAAAACAATGTGGAACAGGGGCAAAAAAACACAGGGGACAAAAAAAATCAAAATAAGTTAGATGTATAGAGAGAGTGAAAAGAAAGTTGCGGCCGGTGAAAATCCGGCAACAGCCAAGGTGGCGACTTGGGGAAGAAGAAGAAAGAAGAAGAAAGTAGGTTGTTGGAGAAAATACACAGTAATTTATTGTTTTTTAATAATTAAATTGAATTGTGGCAAAAAGTTGGACCTAATTTTTTTCATAAATTCGGAATAAGATGAAAATCTAGGGATTTTATTTGGCCTGCGGATAGCGGATAGCGGATTGTATTATCGGATAGTGGATAGCGGATAGCGGATTATATTAGCTGATTTGACTAGTGAATTGCATTAGCGGTTTTTATTTATAACTTCTTTAAAAATCCCATTGCCCGACTCAACTTCCATGTGAATCCCACCCAAAATTTCTTTTCATTTTATCCCTATCCCTATTCAACTTTCATTAAAATCTATCTAATTAAAATAAATCACAAAGAAATTTAATTGTGACATCATCTTACTACAATATCTATTTTATTATTTTTGTTTACCTAAAAATCTAATCTTCCTCATTTTTCTTTTCACATTCTCCCGTCTCCTGCTTTTTCTTCTTCATCTCGCCAGCCACTCTTATTTTTTT